TTAGGATCGTACTTTTACCCCATACAAACACTGTAATTTTACTGGAACCGTACTGTGGTACTATCACAGAGCCAGGGTTACCTGTGATGTTACAATTTTAACGAAAATTACAAAAACTACAAATTTCGCGTTTTTTCGCGATTTTGTCACAACTGTTCTCCCTTTGTTATAAAGCATTTGTTTGTTTTACCTAGTTATTTCTTTACTCACAATCCACAATGATACCCCTATGGGTAAAGATATCACATTGGTTTCAGTCATGATCAATCCAAAGCGAGACAACGAATATTCCATCGTTTTCATTTGGGAGTCACCCCCTTCCCGGGGCTCCCAACAGATGTTCTTTGAACCTTGTGCCTAAACGGTATATGCGTTTTTGTGGTTTGTTTTTGGGTATGGTATTTCATTGCATGATACCAAGAGACTGGACTGCTTGAAATTAATTCTAAACTTTTATGGACAAATTTTGTTTCTTCACCATGCTATCTTCATAAGCACGAATGAAATTGCGCAGCATTTAAGAGTTAAAATGGGTCTGCATGGGGGTGTTGGAATCGCCGTTGGTTTTCCTCACCCGTATCAATAATTTTTTTGATCAAGTCTCAGCACTCAGTTAAAAATCCCTCTTTTCTCTGCTGACAGTAAAAATGTTGACGAATTCGCAGCTATCAGTTTATGTCCTTCACTGAGCCCCTTGTAAAAGGTCTTATTCATAGAACAGAGTCTTTTTTTACTCAAAATGAAACTTGTTACAAAATTTGACCAACTTACATCCGCGCCGCTATGTTATTACAGTTCCTACGTAGGGCTCTTTATTTGAGTCTAGTAATTTAGCAGACAAGAGAGGAAAGGTACAAACCAAATTGAGCTGTTTTCAGGGGCTTGCAAAAGAGAGTTTGGTATCGTCTGTTACTCGATCCTTAGCCAATTTGCTTTAAAGAAAAGAATATTAAATCTTGGATATGGCCTACAATACCTAACGGCGTTCATGCGCTAAACTCGCTTAGCAGCACTTTAGCATCTTGCGAAAAGCGTTTCTGAATTCCTCATTTCTCCATCCATAGATAAGAGGATTGCATGCAGCGTTCAAAAGCATGGCCACCTTATAAACGATATGCTGCAGTAACGTTTGATGGTAGGGGCCTGCGAGTAATGTGCGCCAGAAAACTCGGAGGGGTGTCACAACAAGGATAGGAATGATACTGAGCAGACACAGCGCCACAACAATTGCGAGAGTTCGGGCGCCTCCCATTTCGTGCTTGATAGTTGGCATTCCTGGAAAGTCGCGGCCCTGTTTTCTGACACGTTGTCTCTGCTTGTGGGACACTATGAAGATGTAGGTGTACGAGCATATCATGATCAACAGGGGAACAAGAAACATTGACGCAGCTGTCAATACAAGATGCCATCTGATGGGGAGCTCTTGGGCTTTATCACTATCTGGATGCATCTCTATGTGAAATTCTCTGTAATCTTTGTGGCCTGTTGTCCCATAAAGCGTCCATGGAAGAGCAATAACAATGACCAGAGCCCACAGCCACATCGCGATGGAAACGATCCGTGCTCGGCGTTTGGTCACTATGGTGTGGTATCTTAAGGCGAACTTGATGGCGATGAAACGTTCTGAACTCATTAAGCTGAGATGAAGAACAATGACCGAGAGGAGGAACAAGGTGACAGTTCCGCTTACTTCTTTTAGATTACGAAAAAGTGAACCATTTCCAACATTATACAAAATGATATCAAGAATCAAGGGAATCGCTATTAAGCCGTCGGCGATAGACAAACTCACCAAAATGTTGTTGGAAGCAGTTCGCAAGTTGCGAAATTTGTGAAACGCTCTTAGCACGAAATAGCTGCCGAGGACGGCAGCGACTGTGATAATCCCACAAACGTTCAACTTTAGAATAAATATCCAGTTCGGCATTGCGGGAGGAGAATTGTGCCACCTATGTTATCTATCGTTTTCGGAACACTTACTCTTACCACTGTTGTTCCGTTTCGTATCATAATCAAACTATATAAATATTCAGCCACGGCCAGGTGAACCCAACTCTGTATACGATCAAAGGATATTAGATAACGATAACAACTATTGATGATGTTCCTTTTGTTTTAATAGCGTCAAAACAAAATACGATGCAACTGCAATAAAGGTAGAATTAAACCATTTCTATTGACCAAAAACCAAATAAACATGATTGTCCATATAATATACAGGTTAACGTTGGGTAACTGTCTTAATTACTGCTTTCTACAACGTCAAACTCTAAATGTCCTCGCTAATTCATTGAGAATCCATTAAGAAAGTAAATAGGATGTCAAAATTGCATAGTATAGAGTTGAGCAAATAAAACTAGTTATCACGCAGTGTTCTTAATTTATACTAAACACCTGACTGCGTTCAACGGTGAATTGAATTTGTACAGAGTCAACTTATAATTCATAAAAAAAGAACCTTATTGATTTGGCCTAGAAAGAAAAACAAAACAACTGTGGCACTCTTAATAAAAATTAGTTGTAACAGCAGGCTTTGAAAGTTTCATAAACTAGTAAGTGCGTCTTACTGAGTTTGAAATACAAGGAACAGCCGAACATGTACGAAGTGCGAGCTTTTTAGCAGGTCTAAAAACGTCTCCTAAATACTCCTTTGAATTAATATTATTATTACTGATTATTACTAAAATAATAATAATTATTATTATCAATATTATTATTGTTTTTATTATTATTGTTATTATTATTATTGTTGTTATTATTATTGTTATTATTGTTATTATTATTATTATTATTATCATTATTATTATTATCATTATTATTATTATTTAAGAGACTATCAAGTCAGTTTATTAATATCAACATCAGAACCTGTTTCACGCATAAAAAACTGCATGGGTCCTGTTTCTTTGCGACTGTGGACAAGTTTCGGCTTAAAATAGCCGTTTTAAATTCTAATATACACTGTCAGCTGTCAGCTAAACAGAAATTGTTTTTGTTCAAGGAAGTAGACACACTGGCTCAACACCTTCGTTTTTGAGCCATTAATCAAGCGACTAGGAAACGTCAGTTTTCATTTCTAACTTTATGAAGCTGTGTTATTAAAAATCAATCGAAACGCGTAAACCACTATGTAGGAAAATAATGAATTCGGAAGGAGAAATAAATTAAATTCATACTTACTGGCGACATTTCTAACAAATTAAACTTATTAAAGAGCGGAAGACGTTTGGAGCGGAATAGATACAATGAAGAACGCCCACATTTCTACAGGTGTTCATGTAAAGAAAAGAGGCGACCAAACAGGAAAAATTGGCAAACACCCAAATATGGCTGCAAAACTTAGTTTGCCACTTTTCTTTTTCGAATTTCAGAACGCACGGGCAGTTCCTTTAATAAGGATATTTTACAGAGATTTCATACAAAAATAGGACTCTTAGATCACTCAGCGGCGATCTGTTTGAAGCGTACAGAAGGTGCTTAAAATTAGTATATCATTCTGCTTAACTGGAAGAGTGTTTATTTCCGGTTTGAGGAATTAGGAGACCGCATACTATTAGAGTCGCTTTTCTTTTCCCGCGGGATTTACACTAGGGACTTTAAGATCCAACGACACGACGGCGACAAGAACGTCGCTTAAAAAGTGAATTTGCATTCTTTCAGTCTTTATAGCGATTATTCCTACCCACTCCTGAAGCTGAATTTCAAGGGATCATATTCAAGCTTAGAAAGAGAAGTAAAATTTCGTCGTTGCTTGATTACGTTCGCCATAAAACGCGAAATTAGGCATTTTCACGTCGCAGTTGTGCAAAAACGGGAAAGAAATGTACAAAAAAGTGTGATGCACGTGCGAAGTTGTTGTTTTGCTAATTAAACCTATTGTTTTTTGACGTTCTTGTTGTCGTCCGTGTCGTTGGATCTTAAGGTCCCTACAGTCGCGCGGGTAGGTATCGTTCTGGGCTGAGTTGCTCAAAGCATGGTTAGCTTTAACCATTGGTTAAGCAGTATCAAAACCAATACGTTGTCAAGGTATTAAACGCTGGTTAACGCTGACCATGCTTCGAGCAACTGGGCCCTGGATGCCATATTATTTCACGGTTTGGACGAAATCTTGGACTGGCTGGCTGGCTCATTTGACCTCGATCTCATGTGATAGTTTTTCTCGGTCGAGAACTGGTATCTATTTTGTGCCTCGCTCGTTTACCGCAGATAATTTTTGTTTTACTGTATCCTGGGGAGGTGTATCAATACCGTTTTTTCCTTACAGTATTTGCTATTCGTTTTTATTTAAGTTTCTTTTCTAGGAAAAGCAAGATAATCCAATAATTAGATTTTGTGTTAACAATGTGTTCGGCACACTGTATTTGCTGTTATGGCTAAGAGCTACATCCGTTAGATCGACCATCACTTCTTTGGTAAATAACATCACTTCTTTTTGAAAAACTGCTCGCAGTCTTAAGTTCTTGGAAATTTTTTGTAGTTCGTCTTTATCTTACTTACACATTGTACTGAATAGAACGCTCATTATCCTTGCCCAAAAGCTTCCTTGACCTTGAAATTTAGTTTATTAAAACCGGGATGAATTTCAGCGGGATTTTCGAGTAAACGCATTTTATTTTAGACCCAAGGAGAAACTTAGGTCAACTTTTGCTGGAAATTTGCCGCTAGCTTCTCAGAACCTCTAGTCCATTATAGTTTATTTTGTGGCAAACTATGGACTCATCTTAGTCACTTTTGGATAAATTGGATCAATGTAAATTTCATATGGATATAATGAAAGCTGATCACGCATGTGTTAAATGTAAAAACAAAGGCATTAAATATGCCGCAGCAGTTTTTTTTTCTTCCTATTTTTCTTCCCAAAATACCTTATGCCAGAACTTGCTCCTAAAGTCTGGAAAATGTTCGACCCCATTCGAGTAATTTTTTTTCTGGTGGCAAATTCTCCATTTCAAACACCAGGCTCTTTTATCTCAGCTTCCAACGGCGCAAAACTTCGCGTTTTAAGAGCACTTCAGCAGTTTGCGAAAAGCGGTGCTGAATTTTTCATTTCTCCATCCGTAGACAAGAGGATTACAGATGGTGTTTAAGCCTGTTGCTAAGTCAAAAACAATAAACTTAATTAACTTTCTCTTTGGGTCGCAACGTTCTGGAAGTTCGCCGAAAAAGCGAAGGCCTGTCACGATTATCAGTGGGACGATACTGAGAAGGCAGACGGCTACAACAATAGCAAGAGTATTGGCGCCTTTCATTTCGTGCTTGATGGCGGTAGCCATTCCTGGAATGTTGTTTTGTCCTCTTATATTTTTCCTTTGTTTGTAGGAGACGATAAAGATGTAGCCATATGAGCACAAAATGATTACCAAGGGGATGACTAGCAAAAACATTACTAGAAAGATGAGAAGCCCTTTCATTAACGGATTAAGATCGTGATCCAAAGGATTTTCAGGGTTTTTACAGTGTGGATCCATCGCTTGGCGAAACCGTTCAATGTCTCCACTGTTTGCTACAAGTGTCGTTGCAAAAGTTATCGTAACGGTCGCAGCAAAAAACCACATTGCCAAGGCGACGATCAGTGCTCGAGGATTGGTCACTATGGTGTGGTATCTTAAGGCGAACTTCACGGCGATTAAAAGTTCTACGCTTATCAACGCGAGGTGAAGAATTATGACGGAGATGAGAAAGAAGCTGGATGTTGAGGTTATTTTTCCAAGAGGACCGGAGCTACACTCAGCATCAGAGCCGTTTAACAGTCTAAGACTCATTTGCACGATGCCGAAAATCAAAGGAATCGCCAGTAAACCGTCAGCGGTTGACAAACTTACCAGAATAACGTTAGAAGCAGTTCGAAGACTATGAAATTTGTGAAACGCTCTAATCACAAGATAGCTACCGAAGACGGCAGCGACAGTGAAGATGAGATGAATGCTCATAACTGAAATTATAATTACTGTTTCCTTCGCCAGGCTGAGGTTTTGAGCAGGGCAATGCGCTTCGTTTAGCCCGCATTTGTCCTCGTTACAAGACAAATTGCTGGCCATGATGTGTCTTCAGACTTCAATGCTGGTTTTAAAACGTTAATTATAGCAACAAGACCAGCAGATCGTACAATGTGTTTTTCCTTTCTAAATTATGCTCTGCCGACTTTTATTTGAATCGATCGTGATAGGGTCAAGAACTGTCAGCCGTATGCAAAAGGCAGAATAAACACGTGGTCCATAAAATCCACACAACAACAACAAAATGACAACTATTCTTCTATTCTATTCCTTTTTAACACAGACGCATACGCGCAGACAAAACCAACTGGCCGGACTAATTCTGATTGCTTTCGCGTAACAAAAGATCGTGTAATTGCTATTATTGGAAGGGGTTTGCTTCCCTGTTTCACATGTTAATCAAAAGGATGAGAAGGAAACGACTTTCTTAAAAGCATTGAGAGTTCAAAGTAGTCAACTTTTGCCATACACTTTTCGAGAGAATTATATTTCGCTATTTTCGCGATCCGGGAAAAATCGCGAAATTTAATACCAGACACACCTATACGCAAAAAATAACGAAATTCAAGATGTTGCTTTATTAGTTATCCCAACAAGTTTATCAGAGTGTAGATATTTACTATGTAACTATCTGTGGGTAGTTACACTGTAGTTAGACCATTGAAGGCCTTCTGCTTTAATATGTTTAGCTGGTTGACGTTTTGTTCGTAATCGTCTTTGTTTTCTGTTTTATTACGGTAATCACTTATTCTGCTGTTACTGTTCTGAGTTTAAAGTCGCCTTTACATATTAAAGAACAGAAAAATCGAAAAGTTAAATATTCGCGAAATGTGGCTCATAATTTTTCGCCAAATCTAATACTCGCGAAATTAAGTGAGAATAAAGTACGTAAACGTGACAGGGACGTCAATCGAACTTGAAGTCTTCGTAGCAAACACTTATTTATTTTGTTCTAAAAGCACAATGTCAAAATCCTTGCGCTTTGAAATACCTCTTGCCAAGGCTATTGCACTCTGAAATAAAACGGAAGTAACGGCGAACTTAGACTTTAGACTCGCCTTGGATGCATGGCTGTGAGGGGCGCATTTTTTACGCCGGAGAGGTGGGCATGTCTATGGAAGGAGACTAAACATGGCTAATTAAACTTGACTGATGAAGACTACCAGTAGTCTCTTATTTATCCGTTAGAGTTACTAAGTAAATGGGGTGGCACACTTCACAAGCGAGAAGCGCGCGTTACAAGTTTTCCTCGCCCGTTTCGCTCGAAGAACCAAGAAAAAACGGGTTTTCTCGTAATGTAAATTGACATCACTCTATCGCTATTTTCTTTTCTTCTTTTTGGGCACTGCTATTTTCTCTGGATCTACAATACAGTATAATATCAACTTCTTTTGCACCTGAACATCAAATATATTAGTAAAACACAAAGAATTTGAAAAAACCATTGATTAGTTTGTACACTAAAGATTTCTTTTTTACCCATCATATAGACTGATTGATTGATTTATCTCTTTTCTATTTCTTATTGCTATTTAACACCCAGTCCAGAACAAAAACCTCATAAAACGCGACACTTGCCTTGCAAGGTCCCAGAAACTATAATGCACTTGCAAAGGGATTCAGACCATTTCCAAAATATACTGCTGAGTATTAAGAACACAAAGTTGACCGGCAAGGTACCCAAAATGATTAAAAATATTTTTAATATAATAGATATCGGAAATCTACTCAATGACTTCCCAACAATGATTTCCCAACATAACCCGAAGTTGTTCCGAAGTTTCCAAAGTTTTATGAACATTTGTAAAGTTTTATCAAGCGCGTATGTTTTAATTAAGATTAATAAGTTATAATAGTAAGGATGTTTTCAACGTTTTGGAGCTGTCACCATCCAGGTTGTCTAAAATAATGAATTCTCAAATAATATGTTAAGGTGTTGTTATGCCAGACAAGGGCTTTCATGATTGGTCTCGTCCATCTTTATGGTCAATACTCGTATGATCCCACATGTTGTGCTAAGGTTGAAAAAACAAATGGGAGCTAACCAGATTGGCCCAAGAAGGTCATTTAAATCCTGCTAAAATACTACACCAGGTGAAAAGTATCTAGATTGGCCCCTCCTGAATTTATCCCTTCTTCTGATGGTCCGCAATACTTTTGGCCCCAAAACAGTGTAATAATAATAATAATAATACTAATAATAATAATAATAATAATAATAATAATTTATTCATTTATAGTGCGCTTTTTAACATGCTAGGTGATCAAAAGCGCGAAGGTGTTGTACCAAATAGGGGCTATCCGGATTGGCCCCTCCAGAACACATCTCTCCATCGTCATGGTCAACACTCTTGGTCCAAAAAAGTGTGCTAATGTGTTATCCAAACAGGGGCTAACCAGATTGGCCCTTTCAGAATACCATCTATCGTCATAGTCAATAAGCTTTGTCCAAATTAGTGCGCTAAGGTGTTATACCAAAAAGGGACTATCCAGATTGGCCCTTCCAGAACATACCCCTCCATCGTTATGGTCAATACTCTTGGTCGTCATTAGATGCCCTACCTCTCTGTTCACCAGTATTTCATCTCCTCGACTAACAACAACAACAACCAATCGTTAGAGGGAAGGAATATCTGCGTACCCCTATTTTAAATCAGCAACAATTTATTTTTCGACTTAGCACGCAAGGTGAGAAACTGATTGATTCATGTGAGATTGCTCGCTTCGAATTTAGACTATAAGAATCACTTGTGTACATTACACATTACAAGTGGTAATTTGCATGAGTTGAAAGCCAGTCGAGTATCGTTAAGAAAACAAAGATTACCATGCGCACTCAGGCATGACAAGCAGAGTAGGCCGTTTTCAAATTCCCTGGGTTTGTCTGCAAGCGTTTCCTTCCTTTCTTCCCCACCCCCTCCCCGCTTACTCGGGCCATTTTTCGCGCGGTCTTTGTTGCGCGGTCTTTGACTCTCGAAACAGCACGGAAACGCTTGCTACGCAGGCTACAAAGAATTACACACTTTTGTTATCGCCGAACAATCCGACTGAAGCAGAAAAATTTCTCTTGCAATGACAAGACAAATTACACAAGAAGACATAAATTTATTACTCACAAAAACAACTGCTGCCAGGTCTTCTCAAGAAGCCGTAATGACCAGCCATTGTTCGTAAATGAATATAAGGTTAACGTAGGATGACAGTCGTCTTCGCTGGAAAACAAGTTTTCTGGATTTCGCCAAGCAAAACATAAACATCTTTACAGCAGTTTTACAGAAAGAATTTTCACTCAAACTACACCATTGTGGCGTGTTTGTAATCAGCCAATAGACTGAAGCGTTTGTTATTGTGTCTCGCGTTACGAGAATTTTGTAGTTAATCGAAAAGCAAGCATTTTTGGCAGCTATGTTATTGCACTTAGGAAGTTTGGAGAGCACTCAAGAAGTCTTCCGTGCTCTCCAAACTTCCCGGGTGCATCCATAACTCGATATACGCACAGCTAAAAGCATGAACAAATTAAAAGCTTAGATTAATTATCATGTCCACAAATTTGGAATATAGAGTTAGAGAAAGTAGGCGGCAGGCCAGCGAAGCTCAAAGAGGAAAAGGGCGACAGAGATCTAGAGCAAGAGACAAAGAAACAAAGAAGACATTTTTTCGTTGGAAGAACAACATGAAAATCAGTTGTAGCGGAGGTGAGAAGATGAGAAACGCTAGAGGGCCACCAATGGAAGGTGAAAATGAGCGGCAGTGAAAAAAAAAAAAGTGAACGAGAATACGTACGAGAACGTGTAACTAAGACCCTGTTTACATGGAGTGGGGGGCCCCGGTCTAGTGGCGGAGGTTTCTTTTGTTTTGTGTCCCCTAGAGCGTGAAAACAAAAGAAACCAACCCAACTATACCGGGGTCCCCCACTCCATGTAAACAGGCCCTAAGAAGGTTCTGGAAGTTTCACGTTGTAGTCGTGCAAAACAACGGCAAAGAAATGTACAGAAAAATTGTGCTGCACTTGCAAAGTTGCATTTTTGCTAATTACACAAGTTGTTGTTTTTTCACCGTTCTCCGGCGTTGCCTTCGCCGCTTAGCATTACATCATTTTATATTTGGTTTGAATTATAAATATTATCGAGCGCTTCGCTTTTAGCCGTGGCTAAATCTATATATTATTCAAGTAATTCAGCTCTGTCTTGGAAAAAGACAGTACCTTCTTGATATCGACCAGCTGTGCGGCAGCGGACTGATAATTTTTATACGAGGAGGCTCCGCCCCGAGGTCAAACGCCTTAACCTTTATTTACCACATATACTATTTTTGACAGAAAAGGTACCCCCTTCGTATACCCTTCTACTGACAAATGGTACCCTTTTCACATAGCTAGTTTAGGACGCTACATTGCTTTGAACTGCTGCAAATGTACTGTCCTTAAAGGGACAGATTCACGGTTCAGCGCATGCTCATTTATCAAAATGCTGTTTTTCTGCCGGGACATGCTGTATCGTCTATGCAAGCAATATGATCATGTCATTTTGTTGTCAAAGAACCAATCTACACTCTCCCCTGGTAGTCACTTGCACTTGATCAACTTAACTATTTGCAAATAGCTGTAAATTAATCAGCCATGGAATAAAACAATCGGGTCAACAACAAATTCAACGTTGGTAGTGTTGGCATAATCCACTATTTTTTTCGGCGATTTTAGTACTCCTCCATCCTACTTCTGGTTCCTCTGAATACAATTCTGCACCGGAACATGTAGTTTGCTTGGGCGAGTGGTGTTTTTCTCAAGTGAACAATAGCCGTCGATCGAGCAAATGTATTTCCAGCAGGGGTGGCTAACTTCGGTAAAGCTATGTATCGGTCCCTAGAAAGGTCAACCCAGGACACCCGGGATGGATTTTTTTTGTACAGTGACCAGGCCTCATTTTCTTGGCCGCGCGTTGATCTGGCCCGGCTACTTCGGCGAGCATATTCTCGGCCTTTTTGGATTACATCCTTCGAGTTTGTCAAAGTCTGCGGGATTCGTTTTTCTATCTGGGAAAGCTTCATTGGTTTCTATATCTGCTGCTATGCTATTATTACACTCCTTGCATGTTTATTTTCTGTCGGAGTTCGGATTTCGTGGAAAAAGTTGCAGTTGAATGAGGGCATAGCGGCGAAGATGGCATCTCGTGTCTCCTACCTTGTATATTATTATTGTATATACCGTGAATTTGAACAAATTATCACGAAACTTCGTTGGAGCATTATGGTTAAGGACAACAACAACTAACTGCAGAGTAAGTTTCATTGATCTTTATTTAGTATTTCGTAGAAATTTTAGGATCGTACTTTTACCCCATACAAACGCTGTAATTTTACTGGAACCGTACTGTGGTACTATCACAGAGCCTGGGTTGCCTGTGATTTTACAATTTTAACGAAAATTACAAAAACTACAAATTTCGCGTTTTTTCGCGATTTTGTCACAACTGTTCTCCCTTTGTTATAAATCATTTGTTTGTTTTACCTAGTCATTTCTTTACTCACAATCCACAATGATACCCCTATGGGTAAAGATATCACATTGGTTTCAGTCATGATCAATCATAAGCGAGACGACAAATATTCCATCGTTTTCATTTGGAAGTTACCCCCTTCCCGGGGCACCCAACAGATGTTCTTTGAACCGTGTGCCTAAACGGTATATGCGTTTTTGTGGTTTGTTTTTGGGTATGGTATTTCATTGCATGATAGCACGAGACTGGAATGTTTGAAATTAATTCTAAACTTTTATGGACAAATTTTGTTTCTTCACCATGCTATCTGCATAAGCACGAATGAAATTGCGCAGCTTTTTCTTTTACAACATTTAAGAGTTAAAATGGGTCTGCATGGGGGTGTTGGAATCGCCGTTGGTTTTCCCCACCCGTATCAATAATTTTTTGATCAAGTCTCAGCACTCAGTTAAAAATCCCTCTTTTCTCTGCTGACAGTAAAAATGTTGACGAAATCGCAGCTATCAGTTTATGTCCTTCATTGGGCCCCTTGTAAAACAAACATCATGAGGAGATGGAATCATAATGTCATTTTATTTCGAGGCATTTCCCGTTTCTTATCAGCAGTGTGCAGGCGGTGGTTCCCTGGCCAATCACGAGTTCGAACGTGTTTAGTGCTGTGTTTCGCACGGCCCTTACAACTATTACCATTAGCCTGTACTAGTGACGTTTCTGTTCTACGAATAAGACCTTTTTATTGTGAGTCTTCCCAAACAGTTGAGATTCTTGCTCGGGTCATCTCTTCAGCAAACCAGTGCGCCACCATGCGGAGCTCTCGATCGTTTTCGTAAATTCGGTTTGGGAAGACTCGCAATAAAAAGGTCTTATTCGTAGAACAGAACCTTTTTTTTACTCAAAATGAAACTTGTTACAAAATTTGACCAACTTACATTCGCCCCGCTATATTATTACAGTTCCTACGTAGGGCTCTTTATTTGAGTCTAGCAATTTAGCAGACAAGAGACGAAAGGTACAAACCAAATTGAGCTGTTCTCGCTTGCAAAAGAGAGTTTGGTATCGTCTGTTACTCGATACTTAGCCCATTGGCCTTAAAGAAAAGTATATTAAATCTTGGATATGGCCTACAATACCTAACGGCGTTCATGTGCTAAACTCGCTTAGCAACACTTTAGCATCTTGCGAAAAGCGTTTCTGAATTCCTCATGTCACAACAAGGATAGGAATGATACTGAGCAGACACAGCGCCACAACAATGGCGAGAGTTCGGGCGCCTTTCATTTCGTGCTTGATAGTTGGCATTCCTGGAAAGTCGCGGCCCTGTTTCTGACACGTTGTCTCTGCTTGTAGGACACTATGAAGATGTAGGTGTACGAGCATATAATGATCAACAGGGGAACAAGAAACATTGACGCAGCTGTGAATACAAGATGCCATCTCATTTGGAGTTCTTGGGCTTTATCACTATCTGGATGCATCTCTCTGCAAAATTCTCTGGAATCTTTGCGGCCTGGTGTCCTAAGCGACCATGGAAGAGCTATAACAATGACCAGAGCCCACAGCCACACCGCGATGGAAACGAACCGTGCTCGGCGTTTGGTCACTATGCTATGGTATCTTAAGACGAACCTGATGGCGATGAAACGTTCTGAGCTCATTAAGGTAAGATGAAGAGTAATGACCGAAAGGAGGAACAAGGTGACAGTTCCACTTACTTCTTTAAGAAGTGAACAATGCCCAACATTATACAACTGAAGGAACAAACGAATGATATCAAGAATCATGGGAATCGCTAGTAAGCCGTCGGCGATAGACAAACTCACCAAAATGTTGTTGGAAGCAGTTCGCAAGTTGCGAAATTTGTGAAACGCTCTTAGAACGAAATAGCTGCCGAGGACGGCAGCGACTGTGATAATCCCACAAAAGCTCAACTTTAGAATAATTTTCCAATTCGGTAAGGCCCGGTTCAGACGCCGTACTTTTCATGAGCCGAACCTAATACATTGAATTAAGTACATGAAAAGTTCGGCGTCTGAATCAATTAGGAACGCCTGTTTCAATTTGGAACGGCTCACCCGTTCTTTTCGCCTAGCCCGGCCGGGAATTTCGCCTTTGGATCGACTTTGGAACGCCTTTGATTCAGACGCCGAACTTTTCATGTACCGAACCTAATGCATAAATTCTTATAACGTATTTTGTAAGCAGTTTGACCAAAATGCGCATTTTTCGCCTTCTGAATTTAGTTCGGCTGGAATTAAGATCGGCGTCTGAATCAATTTAGCCGGACTAAATAATTTGGGTCGGCCTTAATTCGAATTAGGTTCGGCTCATGAAAAGTTCGGCGTCTGAACCGGGCCTAAGGCATCGCCAGTCAAGCAGTTCTTCGACATTGCGGGAGGGAAATTGTGCCACCTATATTATCTATCGTTTTCGGAACACTTACTCCTACCACTGTTGTTCCGTTTCGTATCATAATCAAACTATATAAATATTCAGTGGTCAGCCATGGCCAGGTGAACTAAACTCTGTATATGATCAAAGGATATTAGATAACGATATCAACTATTGATGATGTTCCTTTTGTTTTAATAGCGTCAAAGAAAAATACGACGCATCTGCAATAAAGGTAGAATTAAACCATTTCTATTAACCAAAAACCAAATCAACGAGATTGTCCATAAAATATACAGGTTAATGTTGGGTAACTTTCTTAATTACTGCCTTCTACAACGTCAAACTCTAAATATCCTCGCATATTGATTGAGAATCCATTAAGAAAGTAAATAGGATGTCAAAATTGCACAATATAGAGTTGAGCAAATAAAACTAGTTATCACGCATTGTGTTCTTAATATATATTAAACAACTGACTGCGTTCAACGGTGAAATGAATTTGTACAGAGTCAACTTATAATTCATAAAAAAGAACCTTATATTTGGTCTAGAAAGAAAAACAAAAGAACTGTGGCACTCTTAATAAAAAGTGGTTGTAACAGCAGGCTTTGAAAGTTTCATAAACTAGTAAGTGTGTCTTATCGAGTTTAAAATACAAGGAACAACATGTACGAAGTGCGAGCTTATTCAGTAACAGATCTAAAAACCTCTCCTAAATACTCCTTTGAATTAATATTATTATTACTATTATTAATAAAATAATAATAATAATAATTACTATTATTATTGTTATTATTATTATGATCATTATTGTTATTATTATTATCATTATTATTATTATTATTATTATTTAAGAGACTATTAAGTCAGTTTATTAATATCAACATCAGAATCAGCTTTACGCGTAAAAATACATGGGTCCTGTTTCTTTGCGACTGTGGATAAGTTTCGGCTTAAAATAGCCGTTTTAAATTCTAATATGCACTGTCAGCTGGCAGCTGAACAGAAATTGTTCTTGTTCAAGGAAGCAGACACACTGGCTCGACACCCTCATTTTTGAGCTATTAATCAAGCGACTAGGAAACGTCAGTTTTCATTTCTAACTTTATGATGCTGTGTTATTAAAAATTAATTGAAACGCGTAAACCACTATGTAGGAAAATAATGAATTCGAAAGGAGAAATAAAATGAATTCATACTTGCTGGCGACAGTTATAAGAAATTAAACTTATTAAAGAGCGGAAGACGTTTGGAGCGGAATAGATACAATAAAGAACGTCCATATTTCTACAGGTGTTCATGTAAAGAAAAGAGGCGACCAAACAGGAAAAATTGGCAAACACCCAAATATGGTTGCAAAACTTAGTTTGCCACTTTTCTTTTTCGAATTTAAGAACGCACGGGCAGTTCGTTTAATAAGGATATTTTACATACAAAAATAGGACTGTAACACCACTTAGCGGCGATCTGTTTGAAGCGTACAGAAGGTGCTTAACCTTTTTATTAGTATATCATTCTGCTTAACTGGAAAAGTGTTTATTTCCGGTTTGAGGAGTTAGGAGACCGCATACTGTTTAAAGTCGTTTTTCTTTTCCCGCGGGATTCGGGTGGGTATCGTTCTGGATGCCATATGATTTCACGGGTTGGACGAAACCAGTCTTGAACTGGCTGGCTGGCTCATTTGACCTCGATCTCATGTCATAGTTTTTCTCGGCCGAGAACTGGTATCTATTTTGTGCGTCGCTCGTTTACCGCAGATAATTTTTGTTTTACTGTATCCTGGCGAGGTGGATCAATACCGTTTTTTCCTTACGGTTTTTGGTATTCGTTTTCATTTAAGTTTTTTTTCTAGGAAAAACAAGATAATCCGATAATTAGATTTTGTGTTAACAATGTGTTGGGCACACTGTATTTGCTGATATGGATAAGAGCTACATCAACTTAGATCGACCATCACGTCTTTTGTAAATAACATCACTTCTTTTTGAAAAACTGCTCGCAGTCTTAAGTTCTTGGAAATTTTTTGTAGTTTGTCTTTACCTTACTTACACGTTGTACTGAATAGAACGCTCATTATCATTGCCCAAAAGCTTCCTTAACCTTGAAGTTTAGTTTATAAAAACCGGGATGAATTTCAGCGGGATTTTCGAGTAACAGCATTTTATTTTAGACCCGGGGATAAACTTAAAACCTCTAGTTCATTATAGTATATTTTGTGGCAAACTATGGACTCATCCTAGTCACTTTTGGATAAATTGGATAAATTGGATAAATTTCGTATGGATATAATGAAAGCTGATCATGCACGTGTTAACTGTTAAAAAAAGGAATTAAATATGCCGCAGCAGGTTTTTTTTCTTCCTATTTTTCTTCCCAAAATACCTAATGCCAGAACTTGCTCCTAAAGTCTGGAAAATGTTCGACCCTATTCGAGTAATTTTTTTCTGGTGGCAAATTCTTCATTTAAAACACCAGGCTCTTTAATCCCAGCTTCCAACGGCGCACAACTTCGCGTTTTAAGAGCACTTCAGCAGTTTGCGAAAAGCGGTTCTGAATTTTTCATTTCTCCATCCGTAGACAAGACGATTACAGATGGTGTTTAAGGTTGTTGCTAAGTCAAAAACAATAAACTTAATTAACTTTCTCTTTGGGTCGCAACGTTCGGGAATTTCGCCGAAAAAGCGAAGGCCTGTCATGATTATCAGTGGGACGATACTGAGAAGGCGGACAGCTACAACAATAGCAAGAGTACTGGCGCCTTTCATTTCGTGCTTGATGGCGGTAGCCATTCCTGGAATGTTGTTTTGTCCTCTTATATTTTTCCTTTGTTTGTAGGAGACGATAAAGATGTAGCCATATGAACACAAAATGATTACCAAGGGGATGACTAGCAAAAACATTTACTAGAAAGATGAGAAGCCCTTTCATTAACGGATTAAGATCGTGATCCAAAGGATCTTCAGGGTTTTTACAGTGTGGATCCATCGCTTGGCGAAACCGTCCAATGTCTCCACTGTTTGCTACAAGTGTCGTTGCAAAAGTTATCGTAACGGTCGCAGCAAAAAACCACATCGCCAAGGCAACGATCAGTGCTCGAGGATTGGTTACTATGGTGTGGTATCTTAAGGCGAACTTCACGGCGATTAAACGTTCTACGCTTATCAACGCGAGGTGAAGAATTATAACGGAGATGAGAAAGAAGCTGGATATGAAGGTTATTTTTCCAAGAGGACCGGAGCTACACTCAGCATCAGAGCCGTTTAACAGTCTAAGACTCATTTGGACGATGCCGAAAATCAAAGGAATCGCCAGTAAACCGTCAGCTGTTGACAAACTTACCAGAATAACGTTAGAAGCAGTTCGAAGACTATGAAATTTGTGAAACGCTCTAATCACAAGATAGCTACCGAAGACGGCGGCGACAGTGAAGATGAGATGAATGCTCATAACTGAAATTATAATTACTGTTTCCTTCGCCAGGCTGAGGTTTTGAGCAGGGCAATACGTTTCGTTTAACCCACATTTATCCTGGTTACAAGACAAAATTGCTGGCCCTGATGTGTTTTCAGACTTCAATGCTGGCTAAAGTTAATTATAGCAACGAGACCAGCAGATCGTACAATGTGGTTTTCCTCTCTAAATTATGCTCAGCTGACTTTTACTTGAATCGTAATGGGGTCAAGAACTATCAGCTGTATGCAAAAGGTCAGAATCAACACGCGGCCCATAAAATCCACACAACAACAAAATGACAACTATTCTTCTATTCGTAGTTAAACCAGTTAGTAGTTAGTTCGATACACTCTTTTGTATATTTTTCCCGCTTGCTTGCACGCTGCCTCTTAACTGCGCGGACTCCTTTTTAACACAGACGCATACGCGCAGACAAAACCAACTGGCCGGACTAATTCTGATTGGTTTGCGCATAACACAAGATCGTGTAATTGCTATTATTGGAAGGGGTTTGCTTCCCTGTTTCACATCTTAATCAAAAGGATGAGAAGGAAACGACTTTCTTAAAAGCATTGAGAGTTCGAAGTAGT